CCATTTTCAAGCTAAAAATTTCCTGTATATCCTTCCTTGCTCTTTTATCTATTTTTCCAATTGAATCGGTAGTTAGAGAGTTTCAATATTTTTTGTCACCAAATCTGTTATTCTAAAATACCTTAAACTCATCTGGAACAATCCACATCCAGATTCCCATGGTTCCAGGATCCATAGAATGTCCAAGACGAAACACTTCTCCCTGATCGAATAATTTACTCATGATGTACGATTTTCCTCCGCGATAAGGACCAGCGATTGAAACCACGCATACTGGACCTGAAGATGTAAAAGAGCAGGTACTGTTGACCCTGGTCCAGGTTTATTAACTAGAGACAACGATGAGAGAATACTGAGACCTGCATCTAATTTCTCCTTACAGTATCATCCCCGAATTACACATTAAGGTCCCGATAATAAAGGAAATGATCACTTACTAAAGAAGCTCTTGATGTTTAAGCAAATTCTCCTTGTCAACACCTTACAAAATGTCTTAGGAACAGTATGGAGAATACTGAGACTAATTTAAATCAGAAATATATAAAGCATTTTGTATTTCTTTTCTATTTTTGGTCTGGTTCTTTTCATTTTCTTCTTTTGTCTTCTTTCTTTTTCTTTTGTTGTTAAGTGGTCATCCTCGACATGTCAATCATCTTCTCAAAATATGCTAAAACATTCGGTGATAAATTCATACAGTATTCTATTGAATGATAAACTCTACCTTTGATGCTCTTGAGCTTCTCTATGGCTGAGTTAATAACACAAAGGCTTTCTCTGGGGCCACCACTCATGCTGTACTCCCCTGTCTGCTCGTCCCATTTACAGTTGTTTGGAAGACAAAGGGGAACTGCACGTTGTTCAGACATTGTGGTTTTAAAAGAAGGTGGGCTTTAAACTTCTCTGCAAAGGAACATGTTAAGTTTGGTGATAAAATGCTGGACGAGTGGGAAATGTCTATGATAATAATGTTCATGAAAAAATTACGCGCTTCGGATCGGTTGAAAACGAGTGCATTCTTATGTAACACGGGTGCAAAGTTGCGACACGAGGAGTGCAAAGATGTAACACCAGGAGTGCAAAGTTGTAACGCCAGGAGTTCCAAGTTGTAGTTGTAACACCTGGAGTGCAAAGTTGTAACACTAATGCAAATTGCAAATAGCGTGCACGCTTTTAAATTTCGTCTCTCTTGATTCTGTGATGATTTTTCACCTACATTAGTAGTAAGTAATAACATGATTCTCTTGCAATTTGGTGTCATAAGCACTTACAAATATTTCAAAGACTACAAATTGCACTTGCCCTACGGAATTGCGCAATTTCAATTTTGTGTTGTCTTGGAATAATTTACCTCATCTTATTAACACCAAATTGCACTCGAAATCATGGTGTTACCGACGCTAAAATGCAACAAGCTAAAAATACTTTTAACACCTAATTTTGCATCACATTTTTCCATCTTTTCGTAATATTTAACTCATGAGGGTTAAATAATGAAAGATTTGGGCTGAAACATTTAAAAGACATCTATAAGTTAAATCAAATGTGATTCACCTTACTTGATGTATAGTCAGTTAAACCCCTTCTACCTTATTTCCTTTTGCTTTACACCAAGGAGACACCCCCCAAAACTTTCGCTTTGATTGACGCTTATATACAACAGAAATCTCATTCTGGATTCTTAGTGATGTCTTATGTAACTCTAGGCTGCGAAAGTACCTTAAACATGATATCATGAAACATCTATAGGCATAATATGTCAGGCTTTCATAGTGATTTGTTGGTGATAAATATAAGTGTTTTCAGACGGTGAGTCAACATGGTATATCAGGTGTGTTTATATCGTTCTGACCAGGAGTTAATAATGCTGTGCCATCAAATGAGGCTGAAAAAATGAAATGAATGGAAATTGGCTTTCAGTTTCCAACTTTTGATGTTAAAATAAGTGAATTAAAGATACTTAAACAACAAGTTTTTCTTTTCTCTAATATTCAAATGATAGGGCTTGACGACTTTCAGGAAAGATCTACTATACAATGTACCTTCTTGTTTTCAAACCTCAAACTCTGAAAACGAAGCGAACTGTGTTTATTGAAATTATACAGACAAATTATACAGGCAACTCCTCATTAGTTCCTGGGCGGGACCAGAAGTATACTGCACCAGGTAGTACAGGCGAAAACTTGAACTTGTGGTCTTCTGTTCCACGAGGTTTTCAAACGCGTGTATGAAATCGCAATAATCGATAGGATCACTGCTGAAAACTTGCATTCTCGGTTGCGGAAGAGTCAGTGCTGCTGTACTTTGTTGCTGATGACGTATAAGCTGTATAAGTGCTTGATTATGCTGATCTTGTGTTTCCCTTAGACGAACGAAAGATGTATCTTGATGGCTACTGGTTTTGATGGCATGTGGCAAACCTTTCTGGTTCGGTGTCATCGTATGGTGATATTTAGGTGCTTTGGGGTCCAGGGAATACTTAGATGGCTACAAAGTTTCGTTTGGCTAATTGGGCTGCCTCCCTTGAGGAATGATTGCTGCCTCGTCGATGACATTAGGGGCCTTAAACAGTCAGGACGGCAACGCCAAGGAAGACTTCGTTTAAAAAATGAATGTCTGCCTTTAATTAGAATTTCAAAAATGGCTGCATTTCTTCTCATACGGCGCCACACCTCAACTTCAGCATAACGTATAGAAGAAGCATTGAGTTCCAAATGGAAATTAAAATAATTTGCTGTCGCGGTTTTGGTTCGCAGACGACGCAAATTGTGGTGACTTCACGTTGTTGTTTTGCATGGGACTGCTAAGAAAGATACAAAGTTTTAAAAAGCACGTGCTGAGCATCGTTCTGCCAATTAGACCTTTTGTTGTTCCATGTCCTCGTTGCCGTCGCCTCGTGATTTGCTTGAGGTCCCTATTGCCTGGCAGGCCTCCTTCCATCGGCGTAGACGCAGACTTCACGGTAAGTGCGTGCTGCTTCGGCGGCGTAATTTCGTCCCGGTGAAACAAATCACGCTCTCGATTTTGATCGGCGTCTGCCTCTTCGAGCACTCGTCTCTCGGCCTCCGCCTCTGCAATATTGGCTTGCAGCTGGATTTTCACTTTTCTTTGTTTGATTCTTAATTCTTCGATTTCGAGGTCATGAATTCCAATTGGAGTTCGTCTAGCTCAATCCGGACTCTTTGAATGACGTCGCCGGATCGGCGTGCAGACAATAACTCTTTAAGTCTATTGGCCTTTCTTGTCACGTTTGTTTTCGCAAGACTGCGGGTGTTCTTTAGGTCATCCGGTGCTTGCGATTATGCAGAAGCCATTGAGGAGCGTCAATCCTTGATAAATCCGATTAATTTCGGTAGATAATAAAACGAAAATTACGCGTTGATGCTGACTGACGAATTGTAGACGAAACGGGATTGAAATGCGTTGAGTGATTGACGTGCTAATTAGT